CCGTTGTTACGCATTTCACGCGTTTAAAGAAGATGAAACTAAGTAGATCAGCTCTGAATAAGCTCACCGATTAGGAAAAGCAAAGTTTCTTGACCGAAATCTCCTGATCGAAGCCAGTTTTCTAAGGCAATAGGAAAAAAATATCTTTCTGATAATGCACTTGATGATATGGAAGTTCATCCTTCAGATAACACAAAAGTTCGGAACTCAGGAAATTTTTTTTTTCTGTCACGCCAATTTAATTCTTAAAGACAAACACGAAAAAAAATTCTCGAGGCCGAAAACTTCAAATTTCGTAGAAAATTAAGGAATCAACCTTCCCAAGTTGTATCTGTGAGCCAGGGTTTATTTGCTTTGAGTTAAGCTATACGCTGAAATGTCTGACAGAACTTTGCAGAGCTCAGTCTTTCCACAATATTTATTTGTTCCCGTCCAAGGAAGAAAACCATGAAGAACGTAAAGGAAAGCAATTAGTTTCTTTCACCTCGTAAATGATACAATGTAAGTTGCCTTTTGCACTTCTGCTGACTACTACTGCTCATCATCCCAAACCCGCCCGATTCTAACGCCATCGTCATGGATTTATCTTACGCAAATAAAAACTGGCAGTACCTTTATAGCGTTCGAAAATACTTCTGAGATTGTCTGACAGAAGCAAACTTGTGGAATTCACCACCGTATATCATAAATTTCAATCGGTGAAAAAACCTTGCGTGCACTGGAAATGCCGTCTGTTACTTGAACTTGCTTTCGAACAAAGACACGCAGTGAGACCGAAAAAACCTCCTGACTTTTTTAGTGTTGGGAATAAAGCGTGAATATTCAAATATCTAGCTATGTACTGTGGGATTTTTAAGTCTTTCGATTTCACGGTGAAAGAAAGGAGTTCAACCTTTGCATCCTTTTTTTTTTGAAATTAGGATAGAAATATATTTTTTTTCGATTCATTTTGAGATTTTGCAGAATTGGTGAATGCCTTGTTCATTATACACCTGTTTAGGTTAAGAAAAAAAGTTTCTAATATTTCCTCCTGAGCTCATACTATGATTTATAGCCAGTTTCTGTTTTTCATGTCTTACTAAATACGTTTGATGACAGTTTTCATTTTTCTTCAAGTCATTCAGAAATCGGGAGTGACAGTGTTTCATCCTCAGGAGGAGAGGGGGGGGGACTGTGCCTAAGGGGGTCTATTGGTGCATGTCACCAATCCACCGCATTTCATGATTTGATAAGCACATACACTCTTACAAGATACAACTGCAGTGACACGTTCCCCTCTGCCCGCTTGAAATGTACTGCCCACGTCCTAAACACTGATAAATTAATTAACATGTCACATAAGCTGTGAAATATCTATAGAGGCACGTAACTAACAAACCGTATTTAGTTTTACACCATGATTATTTAATTCCTTTCAAGACAAAGACGCATAAGCTGTGAAATATCTGCAGAGGCACATGGCTAAGATTCCATGATATATTTACACAGTAACTCTTTAACTCATTTAAGTGATCAAGACAAAATTTCCCCTTACTGCATCGTTACAATTTAGACAAACAAGTAATGAGAGTGAAGAGAATTAGCACTTGGGGATTAGTTGATTCAATGCTAAATTCTCCAAATGACATCATAAGAATTGTATGGTAAACAGTAAGAAGAAGTACTAATAGGATCTTGGTAGCGAAAGGGTTCATGGGTAACAAATGGCTTGTAATGTCGTCATGACAGAGCATGATGCTGTTCAACCGTATCTGGTTTTTTTTATGTTGTCCTCAATCGATATTATGCAAATAACACCCACTGGAAAATGAAAACTTTGTAAGGCGTCAGTCGTTACCCAAAGATAGCTTACCTTTGAAAGACAAAAGCCTCAGTTTTATACTGATCGGTCTTTAGATGAAAATCCAACTGTTCAAAGGCAATTTATATTGAGATATATCGTCCGCTGCAAAACAAGATAAAAAAAAGTTAAATTTTTCGAGCTCAGATCCATCATCAGTAACTAAAAATACGTTCAAAACCGAAAAACATGTACTGAGATGGAGCAACCAAAACTTTGGCTAAATTTTTGAATATCATTTCTTGCCTTCCTTCCGGCGATAAAAAAGAAGTTATTTTATTCACTCCTTCGTTTTAATTAAATTTCATTTTTCTGACGCCAAATTTAAGACTCATTCAGGGGTTGGCTCGAAAGAATGACATGCGATGTTTGATCTTGAAGACGTCGGATGAGAATGTAGCTGGAAAGAATTCATGTTGACGCCAGCTGATAGTATGCAATTTAACAGGTCGAAATTATTTCTGATTCTGATTGGAATTAAAAATGTTTAACGGGGCCTCGCTGTATGTGATTTTCTTTTCATTCAGGATTTTCTTTTAAAGTTCTCATCGTAAACGTCATAAGATAATTACGACCAGATCATGATTGAGATATACTGTTCGTTTGGTATGGACTCTCTTTTCCTTCATACCCGCATATGATCGCTCTCATATAAATTCTTTGGACTTGTTTTCATTATTTTTGTAAATAAACTTCGTGATCGTAGAACAGTAATCCAATCTCAGATCCTTAGTGAGAAAAAAAAATTAAAAAAATCTCTTCTTACGGAAGTCACGGTTGTAATGTCTTTTGAGGGGTTCGTTACGTTGTCACGCAGCTCACGCAAGGAAAATGAAACTGAGTAAATCAGCTCTGAATAAACTCAGCGATTAAAACAAGCAAAGGTTCTTCACTCAAATCTCTTG